AAACCCTTCACGAGGTGAACACCGAAATCAGGACCCTAAACTTGACAGTCCACGCTGCAGCAAAAAAAATTCTCGAACGGATAGTGATCGTGAGATATAACCGGAAAATGGCGAACATATTGGCAGCCTTAGACGCGGAACTGAACGAGTACGAATGCTAATCAATGCCATACGTTTTGGCTAAAAAACGGCAGTTGCACTTGTCGATCATGTCGCCAGAAAACATTATCAATGCCGCAACGGAAGTTATCAGACACAACCGAGGTGTCGAGTTTCCAACTCCGCTGGAAATTCCATACCTTACGGAATTATTCGGGCATGTGCGACGGCTACAATTTCTTTCACACGCATTCGCTCACAATTTACGCAATGCTTAAGTATAATTGACTGTCCTTAACTAATGAAAATAAATCTTCAGTGCTTCCCGATTATTTCTAAATTAATTTTGCGTCCTCTGCTACACTGGAAGAAAGAGTTCTCTCACATCAAAATGATAATAAATTATCCGCTTATCTCTAATCATCCACGTCTTCATCATCGCGTCACTTCCGGTGTTGTTGATGACTAAATTGTGGTTCCTTTATCGGCTACATCCAAAATATAGTCAAATCCAGGAGCCTAACGACATCTCTCAGCTTCCCAGACATCCTTGGCAATGTCCTCAAACGGAACGCAGTGTTGCGTAAAATTTAATTGAAAAGAAAAAAAAACAAAATTAAAATAAAAAATATAATTTTCTCCTCTCAAGGAACTTTCGGCACTGGAAGTGACTTCCCGCCAGGTGGAAATCCTCTAAATCAGGGATGGGCAACCTCTGCTCTGAGAGCAAGTCGTGCTCCCGACCTCTATTAGTACATAACAAAGGGTAGACGAAAGCTTATTGTGTCGGGTGATGGGCCTTTATGACCCAAGTCGTAAAGGGCCTTCTCCTCGGCTGAAATCAACCAAAGTGGGGGTAACACGTAAGAACAGGAGTAGAGGAGAAATATCGCTGAAGAAAAGGAAAAGCGGGGAAATGAGTCAAAAATGGAAAATGTAGAATTTTCTTCACGATGACATTTTTATTAATTCTGAAAGCAGACGTTACAAATGAAATGTAAAGACCGGCTGTGTAATTTCAAATGCAAGGAATAAATTCCACAAGGTTCTTTGAAGACATTTTTTTAAAAATATTATTTTTTAAAAATATTCCTTTTTTATATTCAGAATCAACATCAGCCAGTCAAAACTGCAATGTTTGGGATTTTTTCCTAGACATATTTTTCCGTAAGGTCGATATTGGACCAAAAATTTAAAAAGCAAGCTGAAAGATGTCATTAATTCGGAAAGTTGAATTTGAAGAGTACTTTCATATTCATTTCAATGACCAATAGTTATCTTCATATTCAGAAAAGTTTTTGTCCATGTGTGGACATTTAACTTTCTCTTTATATTAATCACGGCGGCCATTTTCCCCATTTTACCATTTGGCAGAGACGTCATGGGACGCTCCCCAATACGGTGACTGTGAGGCCCCCACTACTGTCCCTACTATGATCGTACTAGGACCCTTATAATTGGCATGGTTATAAACTTTATTGGATTCCTAACTCGAGTTAATGACTCTGCTCCGAGCTACCTGAAGGTTGCCCATCCCTGCTATAGACGATCGAAGATGGTTGCAGTGTGACGCATCTATTCTCTGTGTTACAAATTGTAACGTGGTATTTAACCAGTTACTGTTTCTCAACCGATTGGCGTTATTTAGAGCAGGGATGGGCAACCTTCAGGTAGCTCGGAGCAGAGTCATTAACTCGAGTTAGGAATCCAATAAAGTTTATAACCATGCCAATTATAAGGGTCCTAGTACGATCATAGTAGGGACAGTAGTGGGGGCCTCACAGTCACCGTATTGGGGAGCGTCCCATGACGTCTCTGCCAAATGGTAAAATGGGGAAAATGGCCGCCGTGATTAATATAAAGAGAAAGTTAAATGTCCACACATGGACAAAAACTTTTCTGAATATGAAGATAACTATTGGTCATTGAAATGAATATGAAAGTACTCTTCAAATTCAACTTTCCGAATTAATGACATCTTTCAGCTTGCTTTTTAAATTTTTGGTCCAATATCGACCTTACGGAAAAATATGTCTAGGAAAAAATCCCAAACATTGCAGTTTTGACTGGCTGATGTTGATTCTGAATATAAAAAAGGAATATTTTTAAAAAATAATATTTTTAAAAAAATTTCTTCAAAGAACCTTGTGGAATTTATTCCTTGCATTTGAAATTACACAGCCGGTCTTTACATTTCATTTGTAACGTCTGCTTTCAGAATTAATAAAAATGTCATCGTGAAGAAAATTCTACATTTTCCATTTTTGACTCATTTCCCCGCTTTTCCTTTTCTTCAGCGATATTTCTCCTCTACTCCTGTTCTTACGTGTTACCCCCACTTTGGTTGATTTCAGCCGAGGAGAAGGCCCTTTACGACTTGGGTCATAAAGGCCCATCACCCGACACAATAAGCTTTCGTCTACCCTTTGTTATGTACTAATAGAGGTCGGGAGCACGACTTGCTCTCAGAGCAGAGGTTGCCCATCCCTGGTCTATAGCTCAATACAGGCTCTACATAGGCAAAATATTATCATTGGAAAGGGCAGAAAGTGAGATTTGACATGATATAGAATATTTCATTTTTCTCATCTACCCATTCATGAAAATTTTGACATCGTCATTAACACACAATAAACGGAGGGTCATTCGAAAGTTCAAGGAATGAGCTTCAAAATGATATATAATAGTCATAGTCAGACAAAATCCTTTTTTCCTTCAATTATTTTATCTATTAAGTTGTGGATTTGACAAAGATTCCACCCGACGCGGCTTGGGTCAGGAGCTGTCAGAGCTCAAGGAGAACAGTCTGTTTAAATAAATTTTGGGCTCCAGTCAATTTGACCAAGATTGACAACTTGTATAATGAATTATAGATTTGAAGGGTAGAACGCGAGACTGTGCGAGCTGGGGTGGACTCGATCTTGAAGACCCAATAGAAAGCCAAAGAGAGAGAGTAAACATGAACGGAAGATATTTACAATGTTCCATCAAGACTGTCTCTCTTGGCGTGATACAAGGCAGTAGACAATTATTCACATCGCTTGATTTGGCAATATATATATTTTACACACAAGATATGGCACAAGCCTATATAGAATATTCAAAAGATACAATAGTCAAGAGACTTTATTCTGGTAAGTGTTAGAGGTTTGCCGGCCGGAGCGAGAGTATTTTTTCGGGACACGCCGATCACTTATTGCGCGTAGTCCCCTCGGATAATCGATATTCCGATATTCCGCAACTCCGTTAACGAAAGTCAGGGCTGGGTCTCCTAATTGGCCAGTGATGACATGACATCGGTTTGGTCATACTGGCGGGGGTTTGTCAATATTTTTCCCGTTAGTAAGGGTTTTGAGGCTGACGTTGGGGCAATTTCTATTGACCTGTCAAAATAGTTATTCCTCAAATCCTCCAATAATAGAAAATAGTATCATTTGAAAATAGGCTTTCGAATGGTACCAGAAATGCAGGATTTTTTATTTACACGAATGCTGAAAATTTGGTCGAAGCTAAAATCTTCAAACTAGACGTGACCTACCGACTTCGTGTTTCCTAATGGTCAACCAATCGTAACTTCGCGTTGTCTAAAGGTAAATGACTAACATTCAAACCATTCGAATGCGGACTGCGTGGGCTTTAAAAACATATAGAATATATGTCATTTATATTTTATTCCCATTTTCTCCAAATTCGTTCCAAACTCGTAATTTGATAATCAGATTATAGTAATATCAAAAGTTTGCGATCTCGCATTCAAGTAGTGGTCATTTCCATTTTTTTAAATAGTTATCGACTAAGAATTATGCAAGTGCTCACCTTCTCACCCTCAGATTACGCTGTGAGAAATTGATTTCGACGATCTCATTAATTTCCTTATATTATCGTCTTAAAGCATCTTCAAGGGCTCAAAATTAGTATAATCATAATCCATATCAAGCTCAAAGAATTATCGTACATTGAATTCGTTCATAAATCGAAAGTGTGACATTCGCTAATATGCATTCAAACACTTATAAATACATATCAAATAAACAGAATCGACTTTGTATATATCATTAGAAAGCTTTTCCGGAGTAACGCTTTTCCAGAGAGAAAAGTAATGCAAGGTAAACTTTTGCTTTTCACGATGAATTATTAATGAATTATAAATTATTCACGGGCTATATAATGCTACTCAACATTCAATGGAGCACCCCAAAGCATGCTCCAGGAGCTTCAAAATGAAATGACTAACCAAACAGAAGAGCTCCCAGAATTAAGTAACTATCAAATTTAACTTCAAACGACAAATTATTTCCAAATTCTATGACCAAACCAAATATTCAGTCTACCATGTTGATGTATATTTAACGGGTTTTAAATTGATCTATGAATTATCCTTATCAGAGTAGAAACTAAGAAACTATCGTCAATTGAATGAAAACGAAGCCAAAATCGGACATCATTTTTTTTTATAATGGAAAAGAGCGACGCCTTGAGGATTGAAAGTATCTGATCACTGAGATGGACATCGATTTATTTATTAAGCATAGTCAATTTTTCAAACTCGAAAATCTTTCATAGATCTCATTGAAATCTCCATGAAATGTATTGAGAAAGTTATATAATTTTTCTTCTAATCGCGCGCGATCGTCTCTACTGAAGGAAAAAAATTATTGATCACGTTTATCAGATATCTACCTTCGTTTTTGAAACGTCAGTTAAGGAAATGGCCTAGAATGGTCGTTTCATTTTAACCGCGTAGGTTACTAACTTGGCTAATGGATGACTATTTTTTGAGCATCATGCATATTGAGAAGATAACCAAATGAAATTGTCGTTGAACTTTAAGTTCATCTATAAGTATAGACAGTAATATATACTGACTGAGTTTTATAATAGTAAATCAAATTAACCAACAGGGAAATGGTGCCTCTTGCCCGGAATCTCTGTCAATGTTCGAGGAAGTACTTGCACAACTATCAGTACCAGTGGCATTCACCAAAGATCGTGCGTTTGTGCCATCGTTTTTCGAAGACTGGATATTCTACCAAGTTACCCGCAAATGATTGACTAGAAATGGACCGCATGATGTTTCGAGGAACGCATGGATTTTAGCACAAATTTTTTCGCCATTATTATGACCCGTAGTGTATCATAGATATTAAATATAAACAATTAATAAAGAAAAGACTATCTTTTATCATCATCTTTTTCACATAAAAAAATAAATTATTGTTTCATTCTAAAATCCTAGTATGTAATGACGTATCTACATTCTTTTTTTTTTATTACCATAAGCTCGTTGATATTTTCCATTGTGATGTGTTTGAATTTTGCTTCAGTTATGCACGAAGAAAAATATTCGTTAAAATTGACCTGCGCCTGTTCCGTAATCTGTTCCGTAATCTGCGAGTCAGAACAGTATTCAGTAAAAATTATGGAACAGTTATGCACTTTTTCACTAAACTTTCCGTAATTTTTCTTCTACGTTCAGTGAAAAATTGCGTGAGTGTTCCGTACCTTTTTACTGGATACTGTTTTGACTTGCAGATTATGGGGCAGGCGCGTAATTGTATTGAATATTTTTCTCCTCGTGTGGACGCTGAAAATAATCAAATAGAATTTCGACGACAAAACATCCATATTGATTCTGCATTAAATGCTGCAGCAATTAAGGAATTGTTTGCCTCCAACGAAGTTGTAAATAAGGAATGCTTATTGTAAGTATACGCCCTATCAATCAAGTTAGTCCTAAAGTTACGTCAGAATAACGTACATAATTATTATTGAATCCTATTAAGGATTCTAAATTCTCAATAAGGCCTGCCAATACTCCTCGAAACAAATAATAAAGAAATATTTCAAATAATCAATAATTAAAAACATAAAAAAATATATTCAATGATTGATTACTCAGATTGAATGCAAAAACCCGTGATACCGAGGTTCTTATTACCGTTAGTGTCCAATTTCCCTTCGAAACAGTCACCACTATCCCCAACCTGACCCTTCCTTATCTCACCACGCAAAGAACGCCATAAATCTCTTCTCGCATTAAGTGCGAGTTATGCAAGCCCCCTTCTCAATCCCTATCGTCAATTGAATGAAATGCGCCCACAAGACCCACCGGTCAATATTCCACCTACGATCCATCTCCCTTTTTCTTAAAAAAATGTATGGGTACTAAATGTTCAAGATTGTCATATATTCGACGGGGAACAGCATAGGCGGGAGTTTTTCTTTGCTCATCCACAGGCTCGTCGTCCTTGATAAATGCAATATACCCATCGTCTCTATTCTGGATGTGAAGTAGACTACAGGGGTATTGTAATTCTGTGAGACCCGCTACCCACGTACCTGTCAACCGCACATCATGCGGTAAATATGGTTGAAATTTTGTTGCAGTATTCCCCAAAACATATTCCATGCTACTATCACTCCATAAAAGCATGTAAAACTTATTCGTATCCATTTTTATTTGTTTTTTAATTATATTTTTTTCTAACCGGCGGTACTGGCCGTCCGGTGGCAGTGCTAGACTAGTATGCCAATGATTCGGGTTCGATCCCGGGCACCGGCGGTCAAATTTGTAACATGCCCAATTTCACTGGGGATGAAATTGGCCAGTTAATCTGCCCTTTTCCCCTGGAATCTAAAATCGTCAAGATAATTGTTCCTCCGGAAATGACAAACCGGAATACCGTAATTCTCAAAACGGAAACAAAAACCCAAAAAAATGCAAAAAAAAATAAAGTCTCGAAAGAAAATCACAGGAAAAGGTGGTATTACGCGCGCTGCTCAGGGGGTCGGTTATGGAGAGAGGGGCGGATCCTGGTGGAACCAAGTTTATTGGGCAAAACTCTAAAATAAATTACTAAAAATCCCTAGATTCAAGAGCAAAACCAAAATTATATTCAATAGAAAGATCATTAATACAAGCTTGATGGAGAGACATACACAATTAGGCGTGACGTACGCAGAGACCCAGCAATTTTAATTACTCAAATTCCTAATACTCTCGAATTTGGCCAAAAGGCACAAAAATAAGCTCAGGCGAATACTTGCAATTCACAAGTAACTTTTATTCCCAACCGGGACGGCGATAGACGCGTAGTTCAATAAATGGAGCAAAGCTCGAGAAAATAACTCCAATATTAATAATTCCCGAACCCCCATGAATACATTTTAAGGTGCAGAGCGCATGGCACCTAAGATGCGGCACTGCTCGACACATTCTACAAGTGGAGGCTCATTGAGTATAAAACACAGCCACGTGATAGCTATCGGCCGGCACGGGGAGGTTCGAGATGAATTCTCTAAACGCCCGAAAACTGCACAGAATATCGAAGTATCCGAAATACGAAGGCGTGCATCGCATGACGAATGGTTAACGTTCGTAGACGTACTTAATTATTACTAAAAATGGCTAAAACAGCAATTAGAGGCGTTAAAATAATCGCAGGAAGGAATGAGAGAAGGGAGAGGCTCTCACCTCGGCGTTCCGCGCAACAAGAGAACAAGAGATTTTCTCCGCTCAGTGTCCCACGCAAGACTTTTTCTAATTGATGATTTTAATCATCCGAAATAATCCCAACATCGTTTTTAAAGGATGACGTAACCGAAAATTCTCGGATGCGACGTCTAATGCGCAATTGGATCGTGTCGAACAAGGAGAATTTCTAACACGAAGCGCAATGTTTTCCAACGGATATTTTCCGTAAAAATGGCCCTACAGGTACGAATTCTGCTCTCCCGCACTGAACATTGACTATTTAATAATTAGATGGCGCGGGAACGACAGGGTCTGGAGTGTCTGCGAAATGTTGGAATTGAATAAGAGCAGATATCCGTTTAGCACTCGATGCAAAGAAATTGTAGATCTGATGACAGAAATCTTCAATTTTGTCAGGTAAGCTGGCACAGGCGGCACTAGCACATAGATGGAAACCATGACACAAGCATGTCATGACGAATATTCCAGGGTAATCTCTTCTTAATCGACTTGACACCGAGTTGTGTTGCCCCATCATCACGTTACATCCATCCGATCCGAAACCGATGATGTTTTCGGCGGGAATTTCTCTTTCCTCGAAGCTTTTAATTAGAGATTCGTAGAGATGTTGAGCAGTAGCACTTACCACAGAGCCAGTTTCATCAAATACTTGCACCAGATCCGAAAATTTCGACACAATCCGCCCTCTCTCCTCATCGTAGTACCTCACTACTATGCAACTCGCCTTGGAATGGGATATGTCAGTTGATTCGTCAGTTAAAATACTGAACTTTGTAACATTTAATTTTTTCGTCAACTGATCTTTTTCACATGCACCGATCACGTTCTTGGCAATGGCAGTACCTTTCGTCCTGTTCAGATGCATATTTTGAGCAATACGTGAGTCGGAGAACATTTCCTTCAGGTTGTCTGTGAAGTGATCGAGAAAATTCATTGAGATGTCATGTTCCGCCAAACATCCAATCAATTTTATCTCAGCATTATTAGTATCAATGTCCAGACTCGATGGTCTTTTGGCATCTACTTGAGACCGGAAAAAATTTGTAATCTTTGGTGCATGTTCCAAAAGCAGCGATTCTTTTAAATGATGCTTGGATGATTCTCGATGTGCAAGTAAAACTGAGATATCAGCTGTTATCATTTTGGTACACAGTTTACAGCTGGCCTTCTATGGATCGTTTGGTACGTTCTCCAACCAATATTTAAACCGACAATCTTTCAGCCATTCAGTTTGAAACTTTTGGATTACTTTTATTTTACTTCGTGACAGGTTTTTGGGTGGAGTATCAGGACCCCCGTTCTCCGTCTCTGTCTCGCACATGCTAAATCCTGAAGTGAAAAGAAATAATATATGAAATAAAAAATCTTTTGTAAATTCACGATTTCCTCCACTGCATAATACCTATCCAACGATCGAAATTGATTCTTAAAATGTTTTAAGACCTAAGAGCTCCTGCCTCGAGGATAGTCAAACAGTGGTGGACGTCGTTCTCATAAGACGTGCATTCCGATTGGCCACCGACTTGAATTGGCGTGTGGTATTGGTGGAATCTGACTTATGTAGGTAGCTGCTGTAGTGAAAGATGGTCACAAGTGATATCCTACACTATCGGCCTCTTCAGAATAATTGCAGAGTATCCACTATATGTGTCAGACCCAACGGCTTTGAGGGCGCCTGTTTAAATTCTCGGAATTCCCATTAATAATACTCTCGTCGAAAGTGTCTCGAATCCGGCAAAGAGAAAACGTCAAAGTGCTTGAAAAATTGACCATGAGTCAGCCGCTTCTGCGTCCAGTATTCGATGAAAATTGTTAAGACAGACGATAGTGGCAGCGTTTTTATTACCTGGCAAGTAAGTTGATTTTAATTTGTTTTCATAAAAAAGAACATATCACCTGTTGAGTTCAATACAATTATTACTGATTATGACAGCTGGAAATATTCTCCTCATTCACTTTGATGAGATCGAGAATGAGGAAACTAATCTGGAGGCAGGTGACAATGGAGATTAAGAAAATAATGAGATTGAAGATGTCGATGAAAATAAATATTAGGCTTCGGGAGAGAAATTTGACAACTCAGGATTCAAGGACTGATCAGATTGTGAGTTGATGTTTTTGGTAGATGAACGGCATAAAAAACTAAATTTTTTCATAAATTAAAAATTTTTCAGACATCGATGAGCAGTCTTCTGATGAAAATACCAGTCCCAATTAAAAAAAAATGTAATGAATAAATAAACATCTACAAAAAAATTTGCCTCGAAATTATGGTATATTTTGAATACCATAGACTTTTTTATGGTATATGGTATCAAGGTTGAAGATATGGTATAGATACCATAATTATGGTACGTCTGGCAACACTGCGTTCTTTCTTTTTCATTGTTTGGGATGACCAATCTTCTTTTGCTGGGGAACCTCCGGCATAATTCCAATTCTCACGAGAATTGAAAAGATGAGGAACTTTACCCTTCAAAAGGTTAGGTATCCCAAACGTCTTAGGAAGAGCAGAGAGTGGTCTGTGGAAAAAAGTTAAGCTATCAATGAATATAATTTCCTCCCCAATTTTGAGCATTATAATTTTGATGCCGGAAATGATCGGATGAACACGGGGCATAAAGTTATACTGTAATATGTGTTGAAAAATGAATTAGGCGTCATATCTCTGCGAATTATGATATATTCAAAAC